GCCTGTTTCATTAATTCGGAGTAGGTGGTCCAGTTGCTGCTGTGGACCAAATAACGAAACTGAGACGACCGAAGGCCGCTTTTGAAAGCACCGAAGGCCGCCCTGTCGTCAGTTTCCGGACATCTGGAGTACTCATGGCTGAACCTAGCCGCATATTCCCTCAACGGCTCATCGTCTTGCTGCCGAACGGTATATAGATCATCGGCTGAATATAGGCGATCGGTTTGAATCATAAAATGGTTGAGGAAGGTTTGCTTCAACTGATTAAAATTGTCAACCGTATCTGGCTCCATCCGATAGAACCAATTCAGGCCGGCTCCGGTCAGGGTGGAGGGGAATAGCAAACATTGGCCTTCGTCCGTCAGTCCTTTGCAACCCAAAGCTGATTGGAAGGTATGAATGTGGGTAACGGGATCTTCCACCCTCGAATAGAACGATATGCGGAGTGTTTGGACCTCCTTCTCGTGTCTGAATGTCCGGATTCGATTGGTGAATGGCCCTGGCTGTACCGTTCCCCATGTTGGTGTCCGAGCCTGGTCTTGTTTCTTTTCAATGCGATTCATCTTCTGTAAGAGGAGACGAATAGTCGGATCGGTAGATGGAAGATCGTCACCAAAGGGCTCGACCGTTCGGTTCTCTGTGCGTTGGTCAGTATTGTGACCTCGCCTTCCTTGATCTGCCGTTCGGCTGGGGCTTCTCTCGTAATTTCCTTTTCGCCGAGCGTTGTCCTGGTTTGATCGGTGGCTGTGGGTTCCTGGAGATGTTGGAACATAATCTGATTCGTCCGTTTCTTCCAGGCCGATCGCGCCGTACCTCTGGCGCAGGGGGGATTTTGGTCCAAGTACCTCCAGGCGCGGATCGTCGAGCTTCGCCCGGACCTGGATGGGCGAGGACTGCCGTTCCCTCCGCCGATCGTTGATCCTCTCTCGGCAATCAGAATAAACGCGATATTCGGGATGGCGCTCCTTCGGAGTGGGCACGAACAGTCTTCGGGAGACGGTCGGTCCGTTCGCGGCCTGCTGCTTCCCTCTGCCCTGGAAAGTGGGCCTTCGTACGCTTTTAATCGATTTCTCCTGCCGAAGCTGTGTGGTTGGTTCCCGATCGTTCTGCAACTGGGCGGAGAGTGTTTGTTGTTGATGCAGCTGATAAGTCTATGACTAGTATTTGACTATTCATACATACTAGTCATATTATCCTCAAGATTATTTGATCATTGTTGTCATAAATATGTCTAATTGAGATTTTAATTTACCCCCTTCACCCAAGTACCAATTTCACCCTGGAATTATCTTCCCTCATTTCTCATGCCATTGAATCCTTCGTTTATATTCTTTTGGGCCAGAGATAAGAAAGTGGATGTTGGAGTAGGCTTTCCTAGTGAAAAGGTAAGCAACGCAATGTCATCTTTCATTATACTTTCGCATGGGATTTATACAAGGCCCAACATGATGAATCAAGTGGATATTTGAGTGAAATGGTGAACAAGAAATTCTATTTAGGTGAAACATAACTATGCATATTAATGTACAGGTCAAGGCGAGGTTTATTTTTATGTTGGAAACAAGAGTGACTTAGGTTTACAATTCAAGCTTAAATATTTTATTAATTGTGTTGGCACTAAAACTTAACAGATAGAGATGAGTGCAACTTACAAGAGATGTGGGCGATCAGGGTGATCGATTGAGTGATAGATGGAGATTCTTCCTGTCTTCGGATGCTGATCCTGAATAGAAGATAAGCGAAGCCCGTGAGGTCTATGGAACCGGTGTGGAACCAGCCTAAGACCCTCCGATGCTCAAGTAAGATAAGCGAAGCCCGTGAGCTATTGCTGTTGACTATATAGAAGTATAAAAGTCAAGCTGAAAAGTCTTACCCTTTTGTTGATGGTGAAGGGGTGTATTTATAGAGGGCATTTGGGATGCTTGTGGTGTTCATTTTCGATGTGGGACTCGTGGGAGGGCCCTGTGAGGTTGACACGAGTCCTTAGATATTTCGGGCGGGTGCTTCAAGGCTGATTATGTACAATCGGTATGGGGTGCCGATTGTAGACGAGCTGGGCCTGTATCGGTTGTTGCAGCTCTGAGACAATGTCATCGGTAGACGATGCCGATTGTTCGAGGCCTTGGGTGCTTGGGCGAGTTTATGAGATCCACGTGTCGTTGTACGAGTGGAGGGTCAGATATGGTACAAACAAATTGCATAATCCGCATCAAAAGTATAGGATCCATGTATGCCATGTGAGCAAAAATCATCACAACCAAGGTCTAAAATATCGATGGTATCGGAAATATCAATAGTTCAAAAACACGAAAATGTCTATGGAAATATCGAGATATTATCGGTATCGATAAAAATTGAATAAAAACCACAAAAATTGTAAGAAAAACTTGGAAATTTTTATTGAAACTTTGCAAGATGTTTATTTAGTCAATTATCTATTAGTTTATCACAAAAAATTGGAAGGAAATGCATTGCATGATGGATTTAACTGATTTAGATGGATTTAATTGATTTAAGTTGATTATATAGCAAGCTAGCAAACACTGTAAGTGTAGAAAATATGTAGTAATTAATGAAAGAAGATTAAACACACCATAATCATTTATATATAATGAATTACTACAATATTTTACACTTTATACATTGCATGGTAAGATACATGAGTGACTTAGTACCACATAGAGTTCCTATGAGGTTCAAAATTTTCACTATCTTCATCATCTCTATGTGTAGAGTAAGTATATTGTGAAGGGTAGTAATCAAATGATAAATCCCCAAAATAGTTTTGCATGTAATTGTTAACATGCCACCCATATGGATTCGAAATTGGTTGACGTTGTACATAAGCAAAATCATTTGAAGATTGAGTCTCAGATTCTTTTCATGAGTCGCTTGATTCCATCCCAACAGGAATGGGATATGAAAGGTAGGGAAATGTTGAAATTATCGGGATATTATCGATAACATCACGATAAATTGCCCAAATCATTCATAAAA